TGAGACCTCATCAGCTTGGTTTGGCCAACAGCTCTCTATAAAAATTTACGATCCTGAGCCAGCGCCGATGCCCATCTGTTCTTAGCATATAAACGTCAGTTTTTAGGAAAGCGAGCTTATGCAGTTGACAGTGATGCGGAATCTATTCAAAAGGAAATCATGACTTTCGGTCCGGTTGAGGCTGCTTTTGAAGTTTATACCGACTTCCTAAACTATGCTGGTGGAATTTACAAAGTATGTTTTTCTTTAAAGTTTAGGTTCTTTTTATTTCTGCGCGCAATCAAACTTCCTTTTGGAAAAGTGGTATGCAGTATACATAAGACTGCAACAGAAATGAATATTGCTAAGGACACAGTGCTGTCTTTACTGGCAACAGAACTAACCGGCAAGTAATATCCGTCAGTACCTATCTTCCGCATGATGAAACTAATGGGCCAATTTTTACGCCTAAAAGCACACAACTTTTCTTTTTTGAGCGCAGCGGTGAATGAAATTTAGTAAGTTACGTTTGCTTGATTTTTACATGCCTTTCTTGTTTCCAAGGGATTTCACTTTCTCAAGCAGTGTATCACAACGCATGTTTTGCTTGCATTTTTTCGCTGTTAGGAATCAGAATATACCTAATCTTGAAAATAATTCTGGCACCATCCATTTAAATCGTATTGTGCTGTTTTCTGTGCTATAATCTACACATCAGTCAGCTTGCTTCTCGGCAGCCCTTGAAAGAAAAAGCTATCGACAGCCTCGCCAGTGGTTGGTCCCTGTTGGCACTTGCAAGGCTATCGATGGCTCATTCATCAGCAAGCTAATAACGGGTTTTACCCCCTGGTATATGGCAGTAACAGTTCATCGTGGAAACGAGCAATTGAGCCACAAAAGAATTCTTTGCTTCTTTGATCAGCTGCACTGCAGTTGTGCAAGTGGTAACTTTACCAGCCGCTTCGAACAATGCTGTATCACATTTTGGTCAACATGATGACGATCCTGACATTCGTTTCTTTTCTTTAAACAATTATCGGCTAAACAGTTTTCAGTCTTAAAAGCTGTGTGTATTGAACAATAATCATTTGTTCTTAAGCAACCAGTTTTTGACCACGGTTAAGTACCTTAATGAGTTAAACTAAATGGATGCTC